AAATAAAGAAGTAAAGCAAACAATTATCTCTTATAGTTATGACATTTGGACTCAGTTGCTGCTGGATGTAGGTTTCTAAGCCTTTAACAATTTTTTAGGTTTTATATATATAGTTGAATAACCAAAAAATCATAAATTACTATATCGATACCATAGAATTCCACTATAATTTATCAAGCTTAGTAACTAAGTCTAAAAAATATGAAATTTCGATCAGACTAAAGACAGAATCTACCTCCTTGAAATCTTAGTTCAAAAGAACGAGATGGCATCCTAGCACCTGAAAGTTGCTGAGAAAGCCATTATGGGGACATTCTGATCTTTCGATTGGTTATTCATGTGTCATATATTGAAGTAAGTGTGTATAATGGACCATTTCCAAAAATGGAAAGAGGTGAGCAGGGTCACTGTTTGATTCAGTACATGAGTGATATCTCAGCAAATAGAAAAGATATCAGGTTCTTATTTTATATTCTAGTTTGTCAATATCGGGAATTTGAGTTTGTAATTCGTACAAAACTATAAACTTAGTATTTTGACCTCACAAACATGTAATTGAACCAGCGCTGCATTCAACATACCACATAACACACAAAAATCAATGTTTAACTCTGTTTTTTAATATTTACTTTTAAATTAAGAAATAAAATAATGTATAATATAAATTGAAGAAATAGTAGTTCAGTAAATTTTAGAATGCGAGTCAACAGATATGATGACATGGTCTTTGACCTGTGATCCATCTGGAGAGGGATAAACCTTATTTAAAGCTTATTTGTTATATTATTTAAAAGTTCGAATAGTTTTCTACCAGTTAGGATTTTACATGTAAAGTTACACATTCTAATTTTTTGCTATTATGTTTATTTTTTTTGTCTGATAACCATATTTGTAGTTTCTGCGATTATTTCAATAACTTTTTTTGAATATCTTCTAACTGAAGCTTTTTTATTAAAGGGAGTAGGTAAATCTAATACTGTAATTTTAATCAAAGATTAATAAACTTAATAAGGTTTCGTCTTTATTGAAAATTTTTATCATCCATCGTGTTAGACATCATTAGTATCTGGTTAATTTAAGGGACTTCTGTCTCTCTCATCACATTTTATTTTTATCTAACAAAAATGCATTTTAACTCTTGCTTTGAAGTTGGTTGAATCGACTGACCTCGTAACCATTTTGTACTCAGTATAGTTTCCATAACATGCTTTTAATACACTTTGTGTATCTTCACAAAATTTGGCAGATATTTAAGAAACATTACACAAAAAAGCAGATTTTTTTTAATGAAGTATATTTATTAAAGATTTGTCCATAAATATATATGTATAGTATTTTTTTATACTAGCCCAAATGCTAATTGATTTACATTGAAATAAATCTAAATTACCCTTTTTCTTTCCTTCTAGTATAACTTCAGATTGTAACATAAAACTACATTTGTTTATCCTAAATAGCTTTACACTGATAACAGCATACATCTATTTAAACTTAAATTTTATTATTTTATTGCCCTTCGAACCCTGACTAATTACTATTTGTACCATTTTAAGTTGTAAATCACTTGGTGATCATGCAGCTCACTTTATGCTATAGAATTATCATTACATTAAATTATGCAAAGGGCAATAAAGAAATTAAATTTAAATATAAATAATGTATACTGTTGTGTTTAAAGCTGTTCAGTATAAACAGAAGTAGTTTGATATTACAATTTGAAGGCATTACAGAAATTTAAAAGGGAAATTTAGACTTACGTTGATTTATTTTTTGTGGGTGTATGGTTATGAGGTCAGTCAAATTGACCAACCTTGTATAAAGTTAAGGTTGAAAACACAACAGATAAATTATAAATTTCTACTGAAAAACTTTCAAATTTATTTAGAAGGGTTTAGAAATTACACAAATAAAATGAAACAAAAAAATATTTTTAATCTTAACATAGAAATCACTTAGCACTTGGACAAGTATATAGAAACAGTATATACATTGAGTGGTCACAAGTAAATAGACACCTAATTTTTCATCATTTAACTGATTTATGCTAACTAATTTGTGTTCACAGAGCACTATATAAATGAAAATGGTCCGCACACTAATTATCTTGTGCTACAACATGCCTAGAACTCAAGGTTCTCTCGATTTGTCAGATTTTGTTAGAGGAAGGATAGTTGGTCAAGCAGATGGTGGAATAAGTCAGCGGCAAATTTTGCAGAATTTGGGAATCTCGCTTTCGACAGTCAACAAAATCATCGTGCAGTTCAGAAAACACAGCAAGGAAACAAATGAGCAGCATCCGAGTCGTCCTAGTCCATCAGAGAGGACAAAAAGGGCTGTCAAGAGGAGCATCGAAAT